CAAAAATCAAACATTTCCTGTACTTCGAGCTCCATTTCAAGGTTCTTTTCATATTAAAACCAATCAAAACCACCTCTATTTTTCCCATTCTATCAAATGAGACCAAGAATACAACCATAAATACAGTGGACCCCCGGTTAACGAACTTTTTTCATTCCAGTAGTATGTTCAGGTGCCAGTACTGACCGAATTTTTTCCCATAAGGAATATTGTGAAGTAGATTAGTCCATTTCAGACCCCCAAACATACACGTACAAACGCACTTACATAAATACACTTACATAATTGGTCGCATTTGGAGGTGATCGTTAAGCGGGGGTCCACTGTACTATATGAAAATAGACCACAAAGTCGGCATTTTAATTAAAAAAAAAAGTTCGGAGTTTTTTTTTCTCATTATGCACTGCGTGCTGCAGTTTTTTTTTTATATGGTGCACACTGACCCCACAGACCCATTCTCTCACATGTGGGCCTACCAGCTTTCTCCTGCTTGATTTGAAGCCGCTGAAAATGTATGAATATATATACGTCAAAAACGGTGGCTCGTAAGATGTATATACGACCAAAACAGTCAAAGGGTTAAATGTTGATGAAGATAGGGAAGCTGTGATTTCGTGTATAGGGCAAGGAGGAATACCATCTTCTAGGAGTGAGGAAGAGCCAGTTGTGAGTGTGGGGGAAGTTCGTGAGGCAGTGGGTAGAATGAAAGGGGGTAAGGCAACTAGAATTGATAGTATAAAGACAGAAATGTTAAAAGCAGGTGGGGATGTAGTTTTGGAGTGGTTGGTGCTATTATTTAATAAATGTATGCAAGAGGATAAGGTACCTAAGGATTGGCAGAGAGCATGCATAGTTCCTTTGTATAAAGGCAAAGGGGATAAAAGAGAGTGCAAAAATTATAGGAGAATAAGTCTGTTGAGTATGCCAGGTAAAGTGTATGGTAGAGTTATTACTGAAAAAATTAAGAGTAAGACGGAGAGTAGGATAGCACATGAACAAGGAGGCTTTAGGAAAGGTAGGGGGTGTGTAGACCAAGTGTTTACAGTGAAACATATAAGTGAACAGTATTTAGATAAGGGTAAAGAGGTTTCTGTGGCATTTATGGATTTGGAAAAGGCAAATGACAGGGTGGATAGGGAGGCAATGTGGCTGATGTTGCAGGTGTATGGTATAGGAGGTGGTTATTGAAAGCAGTGAAGAGTTTTTACAAGGATAGTGAGGCTCAGATTAGAGTATGTAGGAGAGAGGGAGATTATTTCCCAGTAAAAGTAGGCCTTGTCACCGTGGTTGTTCAATAAATTTATAGATGGGGTTGTAAGAGAAGTAAATGCGAGGGTCTTGGCAAGAGGTGTAGAGTTAAAAGATAAAGAATCTAACACAAAGTGGGAGTTGTCACAGTTGCTCTTTGCTGATGATACTGTGCTTTTAGGAGATTCTGATGAGAAGTTGCAGAGGTTGGTGGATGAATTTGGTAGGGTACGTAAAAGAAGAAAATTAAAAGTGAATGTAGGAAAGAGTAAGGTGATGAGGATAACAAAAAGATTAGGTGACGAAAGATATCAGATTGGAGGGAAAGAGTATGGAGGAGGTGAATGTATCCAGATATTTAGGAGTGGATGTGTCAGCAGATGGATCTATGAAGGATGAGGTGAATCATAGAACTGATAAGAGGAAAAGGGTGAGTGGTGCACTTAGGAGTCTGTGGAGACAAAGAACTTTGTTTGTGGAAGCAAAGAGGGGAATGTATGAGAGTATAGTTGTACCAACACTCTTGTATGGGTGATGAATGTTGCAACGAGGAGGAGGCTGGAAGCAGTGGAGACATCATGTCTGAGGGCAATGTGTGGTGTGAATATAATGCAGAGAATTCGTAGTTTGGAAATTAGGAGAAGTTGTGGGATTATCCAGAGGGCTGAGGAGGGGTTGTTGAGGTGGTTTGGACATGCAGATAGAATGGAATAAAACAGAATGACTTCGAGAGTGTATAAATCTGTAGTGGAGGGAAGATGGGGTAGGGGTCGGCCTTGGAAGGGTTGGAGGGAGGGGGTAAAGTAGGTTTTGTGTACGAGGAGCTTGGACTTCCAGCAAGCATGCATGAGCATATTTGATAGGAGTGAATAGAGAAACTCCATGGGAGTGGAACAGATTCTTCTCGTAAGCCATGGTGTTGTAAGAGGCGACTTAAATGCCAGAGCAAGGGGGCTGTAACTCTATCGTCGTATATATTACTAAATGTAACAGGAGAAACTTCGTTTTTCCTTTTGGCCACCACCGCCCGGTGCATAGCAGGGTGTGATGAGAAGAAGAAGAATAGAGACAAATGATTTTTAATACCTGACGTGCTGTTGGAGTGTGAGCAAAGTAACACTTATGAAGGGATTCAGGGAAACCGGCAGGCCGGACTTGAGTCCTGGAGATGGGAAGTATAGTGTCTGCACTCTGAAGGAAGGGTGTTAATGTTACAGTTTTATAACTGTAGTGTAAAGCACCCCTCTGGCAAGACAGTGATGGAATGAATGATGATGAAAGTTTTTCTTTTTTGGGCCACCCTGCTTCCTGCCTTGGTGGGAATCAACTGATGTGTTAATAAATAAAAAAAAATATTTTTTTATAAATTAAAATGCAAATATTTCTTATTTATAAATTATGTACATTGTTTCAGTGTGAACAGTGGTGGTGGCCTCTGCTGCTGCCACTACCACCACCACTATATGTATGGCTTATGTTGTCAGTGGCCCTGATAAGCCCAACACCACCACCACAACCACCACTCCTCACATATGTTATGACATATTTTATTCATTCTAGAGTATGTATCATGTTTCTATGTTATTAACAATGTTTATTATATCATAGTAGATGAACTGTGATATATAAATAAGCTGCAGAGCTGATACTAGCATCATATTTAAGCATTTTGTCCTGTCTCCAAACAATAAATTCGCCTCCCTCTCCACTTCTCGCCCTTTTCCATATGCCAACAAGACTCTTCAATAAAAGTGATTTAAATGTTCATTTATCCATTTCATTAGTGCTTTATAATTATTTCTCATTGTTTTCTATATGTAAACTAAAGTTATTCTCCATAAAATGTATTTTTTATTAATACTTTCGGGTGTCTGAAATGGATTAAATGGATTTATATTACACATTTGTTATGGGGAAAATTATTTTGATTTTCATGATTTTTTGGGTTTCATCAGACTCTCTGGAACGGATTAATCACAGAAACTGAGGGTCCACTGTAATTGTATTCATGTATACCTGAATAAACTTACTTACACACTGTCTTCCCAACTACCCACACCATCTTCCCAACTATCCAAGCTGTCTTCCCCACCACCCAAGCTATTGTCCCTTTTCACTATCTGTATCTGGTATCCTGGGCATTGCTTTCAGTCACAAACTCCTCAAAACCATGAAATTCATTTTCAGTGACACTTCCATCTGTGTTAGAACTATCACTTGGGAAGAGAAGAGTCCCAAATTTGCCGGGAAGTTAGATATTTCTTACTGCTAGGCATGCTGAACAAGGTCTACTGAAATGGTATTCCCACAATGCACCACTGGCTCCCCGATTTCTTTTATACTGTGCACACTGACCACGCAGACCCATTCTCTCACATGTAGGCCTACCAGCTTTATCGTGCTAGATTTGAAGCCGCTAGAATTTTTCCATAGTACTATGGCATCAACACTAGCTCATAAGCCGTAGTACTACGGCACCAACAGTGAAAGGGTTAAATGCAGGTCCTCACAAATGTTAGGATCAATGAATTAAGGTGAAAATTTTATAACCTCATGTCTCTGCAATACCTCTATGTACCTTTAAAACCAAAGTCTATGTGAAAAGGAAAATCTAAATTGTCACTTTCTTATTGGTTGTAAAGGTTCTGAAGAGTGTGATGTAGTTCAGGTTCTTATTCCTCCCTATACAGATGATGGTTAAGCAAGCTCAGCCCCATAACATTCATTTTGCCTCTTATACAGGATGTCTATGACTTGGAAACCTGAGTTTTTGCTTGTTTATAATACATTTCCTTTATTACAGTACTGTATTTAAAGTAATAGTTGCAATTTTCTGTGTCTAGCACATAATCCACATGACTACATACCTGCTTTCATAATGCCATTTTCATATGCCTTACAGGTGGTTTATCAGTTATCTGTCTGTGATACAGCCCTATCCTGTATAATACTCCATGCTAACACTTCATATAAATATACTCTATGCTGTCCTTCCATTTCCTTTGGAATGCCATTTCCTGCTTGTCTGTATCACTTTTACATACTACTGTCTGTACCACTACACATACCACAGAGAAATAAAAAGGTACACAAATACCTATATCTACCATATCAACTTCTTTGGTAACAGAGTACGAAATTTCTTCTGTTAATGACACCTAGCCACAAGGAGAATCAAAACATCCCTTTAAAAGATACTTTAAGATAGTCAAGCCAGCACAATATGTGGAACTCCTCAACAAATGCTTCTGGTGCTCATTCAAATCTTGGCAATACTTGTAAGTATTTGAAGTATCTAGGAAAACTACTAAATGTGGCCACTCCTCAGAAAGCTTCTACATATCGCTTGTTCCCTCAAAAATCATCTACATGTGGCTACTCCCTTAGAAAACTTCTACATTTGGCCAACCACTCTAAAAAAAAACTTTTACATTTGGCCAACCACCCTCAGAAAACTTCTACATTTGGCCATCCACCCTCCAAAAGCTTCTACATGTGACTTCTTCCATAGCAATCTTCTGCATATGGGCACTCCCTCAGAAAACTTCTGCATCTGGCCACTCCCATAAACATCTATGTATGGCCCAGCCTCAGGAATCATCTACATCACAAAAGGAACTCCAAAACGAAACATGTATATATGAACAGACACGGATTGATGAAAGTTAATGCAACAAAGGATATGGATGCAAAACAAGTACTGTACTTAGAAAATTAAGGAATATTTTTAGAGAGAGAGTGCACTTTCTTACTTTCTGCAGAATCGTCGGGTTTAAGTGATTCAATGTTTGTATCTTCAAACAGCTTATTAATGATATCATTGGCATCAATCCGTGTAGCATCTACTCTTGATTCCTTGTTGGCTTCTGCTGCAGCATTTTTGGTTCTGTTGGTCACTGTTCGCTCCAAAGAACCACCATCACTTATCCCACCAGATCCTGCACTACTGCTCCTGTAAATCAGTTCACTTTATTATTATTATTAATATTATTATTATTAGTAGTAATATAATTAGTAGCAGTATTATTATTATTAGTAATATTATTATTTTTATATTATTATTATTAACAAATCAATAAATACAATTAATAAACATTTCTTTTAAAATACTAACAGAAAATCTGCATCATTACTATCATTACTAAAGTTGATTTAATGGCTGTATTTCTTGTCAATCAGTTACTTTTGTACCAAGTTTTCCTCACTACATTGTAAATAAAACTAGACTTAGTCACAAATATAGTACAACCTGTCATTGCATATAATATAAAAGACATCCGGGAATAGCAGATACCCAAGAACTATCAACTGTGGCCACAATTTTCAGTTTGTAATGCAAATTTGTATTTGATACATTTACAATTTTAAATTACATTATGTATAACCTAGTAGTCCTCTTTGGTTTGCGGTAACACCGAATATGGTTACAACTCCACAAACTATAACACAAATTCCACACTGAAAAACTTTCAATACAGTATAGTATAAATACTGAATTACGAATCTTCTCACCTTCCACCCCCTCCCGTTCCTTACAAAAAAATGCCTGTTTTTACTGTGTCAGAATAACTTGAACAAATTAAACACATTCACCACCATTCATTCCTAACATTCTGGAAGAATACTATCCTCACAATTCAAATAATACACTAAAGTATCTCAATCCATTCTTTAGAATGGAAAACTGAAGCTAAATGGTTGCCCAGGGTCCCTTCATAGATGTTACCCTGCTCACATTACACTGCACGCTAGGTCTCCACCTTCCCCATAAAAGGCTTAGTAAATATTAACCCTTAACCCTTTCACTGTCGAGAGCCCTGATCACAAACTCTCAGTGTCGGAAAAAAAAAAAAAATTTCTTACCAAAATCTTAAAAATATTTTTTCAAGTGTTATCAAAGAAAAAAAACTGCAATCAGTACTTACCAGGATATAGAGGCGTGAAGTTGACAGACAATGAACCGCTGACAGTAGTCCATTTTTTTCTTTTCTTTTCTAATATTTTATTTTTCAAGTAATTTTTGTGACCTGTGAGACCAATATTCAGTGGACCCTCAGCTAACGATGGCATCACCTAACGTTAAATCCAGCTAACGATACATTTTAACGCAAAAATTTTGCCTCGGCTAATGCTAAAAAACTCACCCTATGCGATTCGTTTGAGACGCGTCCACGTGTGGCCTGGGCGCCACTGTTTACAAGCCAGCCAGTGCGGTTGCATCCACACATACAATCTGAACATTTCATATTATCACAGCGTTTTTAGTGATTGTACCTGCAAAATAAGTCACCATGGGCCCCAAGAAAGCTTCTAGTGCCAACCCTGCAGGAAAAAGGGTGAGAATTACTATGGATATGAAGAAAGAGATTAAGGAAATGTGTGCAATGTGGGTTGAAGTGCAAACCTTTATGGATGAAAATCACCCTCACACAGCTATTGAAAGCCGTGCTGGTGACTATTACAATGACAATGTTGTGAACCACTTTAGACAAATCATAAAGGAACAGGAGGTAGCACCCAGAATGACCAAAGATTACCAACAGTGAAACCTACAAATTGAAAATAATAGAGATCAAAGGAAGACTGTCCACAAACCGAAAGCAACACCCCGCTGCCAGCCGAACAACGTAACCCTAAGCTTTGTATAACTACAACTTCTTCTTAACTACAACAATTCCTGTAGTATTATGAGGCGCAATCTAAGAGGAAACAGCACCAAGGCCAGCAAGAAAACACTGAAAAATCAACTATTCAACAAGTGTAGTCAGGAGGACGCCGGCCCAGCAACCACCCCACTCACCACCGCTCAAGGCGACACCACAACAATAACAACAAACATGGCTGGGCCCCCACCACCTCCCCCTCTCTTCCCCAGATTCAACCTACCAAGTAGTCTCTCAGGTATGACCAACGATCCAGATACCCTAAAAACATGCATCTCCAAACTTAGTTTATTGAAAATATGAATCTTCGAGAGACGCTAACAAAACAAGACACCAGGATGACACAACTCGAGAACAAAATCCTCAGTCTTGAACAAAAGTTATCAACACCAGGAATGACTAACTGTGACAAGACCATCCAAACAGTCATAGATAGCCATACCCAACAAATAATATCTCTTAATACAAAGGTTGAAG